ACGGGGACTGGGCATTATGTTCACATGACTCCAGTCCTCCGTCAGCAGCCTGGCAGCTCTATTTTGAACCAATTGAAGTATCCGGACTGTCTTCAAGGGTAGCCCCACGTAGAGCGCGTTACAGAAGTCAAGGTGGGAAGTCACCAACGCGTGTCACTGTCACCAGGCAGTCGTACTCCAGGTAAGGGCGCAGCTGATGGATCAGCCGAAGCTGAAAGAAAGCGCTCCTCGCCACCGCTGTCACCTGAGCTTCCAGTGAAAGCTCTGGGTCGAGGAGCACTCCCAAGCTGCGGACCTTGTCCCTAAGAGGGTTTCTGTTCTTGTATCTTGCATGGAGTGGATAATCTTAGAAGGCCAAACATCGCACTATCTAAAAGTATTTACAAGAGACCTAGTGTTTTTTAAGGCTGTTTGGTGGATGCAACCTGGATAAATAAAGAATTCCACCTAGGGCCAGTAGGAAGGTCTCAGAAAGTCAAAGGAAAGCAACAGAGGAGTCCTCTATTTGGCCTCCTCTGCCTGCCACATGTAGATCAGGATGGAAGTGGTCCTTTGACAGGAAGGTCCAAGTGAACCATTCAGCAGGGTAAAAGCCTGTCAGAAAAGAAATATATTTGCACAGAGGCAGAAGACCAGAAGGGGGTTTTACAGGGCAGAAGACACAAAATGAGATTTCCATAACAAGAAATATTTTAGCAGTATCTTTGATATGTCATATCAATATATATCTCAACAAAATATCTTCAAATCATCCAATTTTGGAATTTAGTCAACATTTAAAAATTATTTATATTTTGAATGGTATTTCATCCACTGATTTATTTTTCAGTTATTCTTTATATGCATACATGTTAATGTTAATGTTCACCCTGCATGATAAAAAGGAGAGAAAATGTTTGTGTCCCACTGCTAATTATGCAGGATAATGTTCCTCAATATGCAAGGTATCTAGAGGCAGCTTTGGGAACAAATAGTAGCTTAACTAATTAAGAGTGGTTGATCCCTGCTCTTAAGCTGTCACTTTAAATATTGCCACTATTTTATAGCTGGTTCAAGAATTGGCTGTTTCTTGTGGTTATTATTGCAAAATTTGTTTTTTATTTTTTTAAGGGGCTGATTTAGCCCTAAAAAGCAGTATAAAGTATGATGCAATAAAGGAAGAATATACATTTGTTAGCTGCTATGGTGTGATTTTTACAGTATATTAAAGAGACCATCAGCTTTAGTTAAAATTAAAACCAAAAGCCAAAACATTTTGGATGTTTTGAAAGATGTTTTGTGGAGAATGGTTTTGTTACTAAATGGAATCAATGACAAAACCCTAATTGGTGCCCTTTTTATGTTACTATTTTCATTCAAGTTTGGATCTGAAGTGCCCTTTAGAAGTTTATATCAGTATGTTTACCCATATGGGGGGAAAAATGTTCCCCCCATATTTTTTCTGGTGCAACAATGCAACTGACAATCTTGAAAGACCCATTTTTCTTACCATCTGCAAGCTTTAACAGGCCTAATCAGCTAAAGCAATAGACATGATTAAAAATCTTATGACTAATGCCTCTTACAGAGAATCCCAAGAACATTTAGCAATAATGAGATGATAATTCCTCTTAAAGATTCACCTCTAATGATGGAGCAAACATAATTGACAGTAAATACAATAAAGCCCTCTTCTGTAGTAGTTACAGGTTAAAATAGGAAGAAGCATACTTCTGCCATCAGCCATACCAAATCAGCACAACTTGTGACTAGCAAAATGGAATGCTGCCCACTTGCCATGCGGTAGGGCCTGCCAAGGTGTTCTCTCAGCAAAAACAGGAAGTTTATTGAGCCACTTCTGGCCTGGATATAGACATCTCAGACTCTTAAGCATAATCCTGGGCATCAAAAGCCAGCCTAAATATAATTGTCTTACAGCACTTTAGAGAAATTCTTTGGCTATATATCCTTGTTGTCTGGATCTCATACAATGAGAGAATTGTGTGAACATTGTCATCAGATGTGAGTTTGTGTGACACAATGAAAAAAGATGGCCTCTAATTTATTACAATATTTTTACTCCAGCTTTTGGCTCAATTTGTCTCCCAGAGAAATGTAGTTTAATAGTACAATATAACCAAAATACAATACATTAAAGGAATACAAATTAATAAACAGCCAATACTAGGGTGAGAAACTTTATAGTCAAATAGCAAGCTTGGACAATTTTCTAAAAATGACGAAAAAGGGAATGAAATGAAACGCCCTTCTGAAGCCACAACTCTTCTTGCCAGTATGAAAAGGCCTGTCCCAAGTCAGCATCTATTATACTCTGCAGTGAAGGAACCTAGTATGAAGACTCAAATCTTAAAGATATTTACATCATATAGGCTTTCAAAGATAGAAAAGATACCGGCAAAAGTAAAAAATCTGGCTTAGAAGCTAACAAAGCTGTTCTAAAATTGCTAATTATTTTCTGGTACTTTCTTAAGCATCACAAGCATAAAATTTTTCTTGTTAGCATGGTTGGCACACTTGGGAATACTGTTACATAGTCTAAGCATGTAGTCTTATATGTACTTTACACAGCAAAAGTTCTACAATTTTTAGCTGGGAGTGCAGACTTTCTCTGTCTAAACATGCATAAGATTATGACCTAAATGCATGAATCACTGTTTTTTCTATTCGAATTAAAGACTGTGGCCAGCTAATTTGAAAGACTCCACTGGTGGGCTAATTTCTGTGTACAGAAACTTACGTATCTGCAGTAGTGACACCATTTCAAATGGAATATCAACCATGATTAAATTATTTCACTCAAAATTCAGATACCGTAACATTGGTTTTTGACAAGCAAAGTGTTCCTGGCTGTGTTTGTTGGTGCTCATTCCTTTGCAGAAATTTCATTGAAATCACTCTAAGCCATAGAACCTGGGGTTGCATTTGAGAGCTTTGGCAACATTCATCCTCAGGACAGCCACTGTCCTGTTCCAGCTGAAATGATGACCCATCCACAGCTTTTTTCAAGGCTTCCTGTTTGTAGTACTTGTAGAATTTTCCTAACACCACAACACTGTCTACAGGAAGTATCTTGCAAGACTACCTCGTGTCTTCTGGAAGCCATTTCCCTACAAATTTTAGCCTTCACCTTTGTATCCTCTTCTCTGGCAACTGCTCTATCACTGCTATTGTGAATATTCTACTGGTATGATGCTATGGATGGTATATTAACCAGACGTTTCTCTGTAAAGATTTCTGGTAAAGTAAAAAATGTATTTTTTACACTTTAGCTTTGACAGTGATCTCGAGTTAATTTCTCTACTTTCTCTAAGATTAGTGTGTGGTCCACCCTTAATGCAGCAGAGTGGCTCTGCAAAAGATCCTAATCACTCTGTGTGATTCAAATACATATGTAAACATGTGTGTTTGTACTGGTAATCAAGGACACATGACAACAGAAGTCCAGTGGCAAAACAGTGTCACTGTCATGGCAACTGTTAGAAACCATGTGCTTATTGACTACACATATTGTGTTCTTAGATATACATGTAAAACATTTTTAGTGTATACTGTAATAAATTTAGCGCTTAGTCCATAGCAAACATATGTTGCTTGAGATTCTTACCTCTTTCTGGTCAAGCTGTAATGAGGACTTTATCAAGTCTCTAAGTGCAGTGAGCTGTTTCTTTTCTTCATCTTGGGTCTGCTTTATCTAGAGTAAAAATATTCCCAATTATTCTGGTGTTCAAAAGCCCTATTTTATTATTTATTTTAAGATAAATCCATCATGAAGTTTAAGTGTAGCAGATATATATTACTTATTTTTTGATGTAAGCTGCTTTGAATTCTTTAAGGATAAAAGGTGGGATATAAAATGAATACATAAATACTAATAATAAATAAGAGGGAACAACCTCTTTTCATAAAGAAGCATTAACCATTTCATGTTAATGGTTAAACATTAACTATGTCATTATTCATGGCAGCAGTCCCATATTAGCCAATTTAATCGGCCAAGATGCCCACGCAAGGGTCAAGTGCACAACTGGTGATCCTCTCCACTACCATTTGCATGCCTGCCCTGATCAGAGATATGAAAGAGATATGTTGACACATTAAACCAAACACTTGAAGACAACCTAACAAATGTGGAGACTATTTTGAAGGGTCACCAAAGATATATAGGCGGAGGACCACATGGAAAGTTAGAGACAAAACACAGCTTACGAAAAATTCTGTTTCCTCTAGGCAGAGGCCAAGAGGCAAAAGTTCTGGGTGCTCATTAACACCTAGAAGACAGGAATTTAACATTGGTACAGGGTCCTATACATGCTAAGGGATGCACTCACCTAGTAGAAACTATCAATAGTCATGTTTGTGTATATAATCCCATCCATTTTTGGTTCACTCATGTGTAGCCACTGCCCCATTCTCTCCCCCTTTCACATGCACAAACATACATTTGTGAGGATAATTTTGTGAACTATGATGCTTAAGACAAATCTTCCATTTTTATCTTTTAATGAGCATTCTGAAATAGTTTCTAAAACAGGCAGCATTTCTTTCTTATGAATGACTTACATTATATAAATCAGCAGCCAGTTTTTCAATATACTGTTTTAGTTTATCAGCTGTCTTCAAGCCATCTTGGAAGAAACTATAATGGAAAATGCTTGTGATTTATCAGTAATAGGAGTCTTGTGTTTTAAAGTCACCAGTATTTTTTTAATCTGAATTTTATCACTCTATCACTCCCACCCAATTCAAATATATAGAGTACAGTAAACATCTGCTTACCAGTCAACAGTTATAGTAATTAATTGCTTCAAGCACTTGAAATTTACATGCTAAATCTCAGCCACTTTTATCTTTCCAGAAGAAAAATAAGTAGATACTCCATTAAAAAATGCACTAATTTCGTTAATCAACTTTGACTCATCATTTATTATGTGTGAAATACAACTCCACAGAAAAAGCATAACAAATGTGTGAGCCCACTTAAATATTTGTATGCAGAAAATGTACCAAAGTTAGATCTTGGTGAATAGGCTCATACAGTGTCCAATTTTAGGACTATGAACATCAGTGATCAAGTAACAAATCAAAGGGACTGTACACTATGGACTGTACACTTAGTTGTTTCTCTAACAATTTTGGAAGGAAAGAAACCGTGCAAGCCCAGGGCCTGGGTAAATCTTTGGGAAAACATGACCTGAAAAGACCTCAATCCTTTTCTTCATATCAATCACAACTTACTAGAGTCAGGTTATGATGAATATTAGCTGTCATGAGCTAGGCATCCCCTCCCAAGCAAGACAGTCACTCCAGCACTTCTTGTAAGAGTTTTTATTCCACACAGGCAATCTGAGCATACACAAAAAGTACCAACCCTTCACTACTCTCCTTGACCCAAAGCTTTGCTTATGAACCCTTTGGGGCCTTCCTCTGGAGGGAGGGGCGCTGTGAAAATGAGCACACCTGCATTCTGCACTCTGAGCCCCTTCAGGAGGCTTGAATTCTCCATCTGAGAATTGTCCCCACTCCCATCCTTCATCTGCCTCATTCCCACCGGTGGGAGGGTGATGGGGCGCTGTGGGTGTTCTTGAGCTACTTTCACCCAGGCCAAGGAACAGACCGGCACTGTGGGGAGGAGTGTGTAGGTGTTGTTGAAACAACAATTCCGTTATCAGAGTGTGAGCTCTGAGCCTGGTCTGGTTCAGCCATCCCTGCATCATACTCGGAGTCTGAGCTATCAGTCCCACCAAAACAGGCCATCTCTTGTGCGTGCCTGGGAATCTCATCAGAGCACAAGTGCACAATAATTAGCTACCAAAATGTTTTTAAAAGCAGGTTCAAACCTGCCAAATTTTCTGTCAACAGGTTAAGTTTTAGAACTAATTTATAAGGTACTTGAAAAAGTATTCAAACTGCACACGGAAGTAATTTAAGTCCTTAATTCTCAGTAAGAGCTAGGTAAGGCATTAACAGGCCTGTTTTGATTGCATTGCAGGTGAAATAATTTTGTATCATTTTTTGAAGCAAATAAAAGCTAACAAACTTATGATGAAAGCACATGACTCTACAAATTCAAGAAAAATGCTCCAGCTTAATGTTCATTTTTCAGATCTATTATGCCTAAATAGCCAAAAGAATTATACTTACTTGCACTGTGCGTGATAATACTTAATAAGATTTTGTAGAAGGTCCACACCTTTTTTTGTTTTTATTTCATTAACCTTAATGAGATACTATAAAAACAAAACAAAACAAAGCTCAGTAGATAATTATATAGTGGGACTGCAGCTGTTTTCAAATACAGGTTCTATTTCAGATCTATTTTAACAAATTCAGCAATTATCTTTGAGGCTGCCTTATAGCTTGCATTTAAAAGCATCCTGCAAATACAGTGATTAAAATATTGGTGTATATAGAACAGATTAGTATAGCCTGGTAAGTTAAAATTATCAAAAAGCAATAAAAACAAATACCATTCTTTCCAAATTGTTTTAAGCTGTTACTTTTACCACCATTAACATCACAAACCAATTATATGTATTCAGCAGCTTTATACTGTTAATTTATATTATTTATTGAGTTTTATGATGGTTGTAAGCCACCCCGAGGCTTCGGCGAATGGGGTGGCATATAAATCTCCTAAATAAATAAAGATACTGAAGGAAATAAGAACTTAGAGATAACAGTTCCATGAAACAGCTCTGAAGCAATCAGTAAGTACATCAGTATTAGTTCATGAGTGACTGCAAATCTAGGTTTGGATACTCCCCTCAAACGCTGCACTTTCTGAACTGAATTTTAGCTTCACAGCAAGGTATGGTTTGCCACTGCAATGAATGCTACAAGTAGCACTCATCATGTTCACTTTTACATTTGACTGAAAACTATGATTTGGCATTACATTTTAATATACCCCACAGCTGAAAATCAAATTAGCAATCACAGTTAGACCCTCACTCAAATTATTCTGCCTTATCCACAAAATATTAAGAACTTGAGAACAAGTGAGTTGGATTAGAATGAAGGTTTATCTGGTCTAGCATTCTGTTTACACAGTGGACAATCAGATGCCTATGGAAAGTTCACAACAGGTGTCAAGTGTGGGAGCATTCTCCTGCTTCTGCCCTGCAACAGATCCCTCTGACACCAGAAGTAATATTATAGTCATCATGACTAGTAGTTGTGGATATGTTTGTTCCTAGTGCCATGGTCCTTTACTGGAAGATTTAGATTTGGAAATGTATTAAAACAAACATATATTTTTTAAAAAAACTTATCCAAACTCAGCTTATAGGGGAGGGCAACCAATTGATCTAAGTAATCCCAATAGGTCCAACTAAGGATCACATATCCAAGACCGAGTCAGCAGACCAGATAATGTCAGGAGGTGGAGTCTCACCCCCAAATCACCAGTCCATATCATATTCACTTCGATTCCTCCCCCCGCTCCACCATGCTGAGGGTCCTGGAGCTCTGTACCTCTCTTTGCAAAGGGAAAGAGATCCAGCTGGAACATGCAAGAGATGGCTCCTGCAAGCCTCAGCCAAGTTGAACTGTCACCCTGCATGTGTGCTTCCCAATCAAGATACAAGTGGCACAGGAAGCAATACGGTTTATCTCTAGAGATAAATATATTGTAGATAAGAAAGTGATTCCTTTGCACTGTGTGCCTTCAGGGATAACACTTGGGGATGACATTTGTAGAGAGCAAGGTGACAGCCCACAGAGGATGCTCACCCCTCCAGCCTGAATCAAGAACATGGGTCAGAAGGTGCCCTCCCTGCTTACATTAATGACAGCCACATCTGACAACATGAATTAGCTCTAAGAGGACTTTGAATCCCAACATGATAGATGGAGGTTTATAATGTAGCGTTCCAAGGTCGTCTTTCCCACAAAGAGGTACAATTTAACAGGCTTTGTAGAACATTTAAGAAGACTATCCCTTTTCCCATGTCCCCAGTGAATAAAAATATTTTAAAACATTGAAAGCCATTACTTACTTCACACATCTGCAGCTGAAATAGTCGTCTTTCTTTCTCCATTTCTTCTGCTATCTCAGCTCCAGTAATCTCTGTCCGTATCATCCCATGTTGTTTTGCATGTTCCCTTTTCTCCTTTTCAATTTTAGTGCTGTAATCACAAAAGCGTAATTCAGGAAACTTGTGAAACTTTGAAAATTATATTCAATGAGAATTAAACTAATTCCATTATAAGAGTAACCCAACTACTCATAAACATGTATAAATTTTATCAAAGAACAGCTGCAAGCTTAAGCCATTTCTTCCATTAAAATTACCCTGCAAGCTGCTCTTGTGATAAAGAGTGGCAGGATTTGGACATTCAGGAGGCCCAACATAGGTGCATGACAAATGATGCAACACGTGTATGTCAAATTTGCATACATATGATTTCAGTCCTTTTTATGGGAATAAGCTTTAGAAGCACTCCTCCAGGAAAAGAAAAACAAGCTAGCTAGCAAGTAATATATCTAGCCAGCTTTTAATTTCTTTCTGCATTTTTTTTGACCTTCAGAGGATATAAAGTTTGCCTGAATCTTTGAAGGACTTTGTGAGAAGGCCTTCACTTTCCTCTACTAATACTGAGTGTAAGAGCATTCCCCACTCCCTGTGGAACAGCTGAAAGGAGAAAGGACAGTTTTCTTCCACCTTCAGCTAGCCACAGATTGTTACATCTGAACTAGGACCAACTGCTCTCCAAAGAAGCCAACTCCAAAACATATTTTAGAATGCTGGTGTAATTAGAGAACCTGGCCAAAATTTGTTCCCACTTGGATATTTAAAAAAAAAAAAATGGCTGGCTGAAAATGCAAGCAAAAATTTCCAATCACTTCCTTGTGGCAATGCCAGGGGAGCTGAGTTGAGTAATCTGGTCAATACAATGCATAGTATACATCATAGTTTGAACAAGGCCAGGACATACTAAAAGTTATTTACATCATATGCATGTTTATTAAATGATAAATGAGACAGCACTAGTCTTCCAGAGACAAAGATACGGCAGCCCTGGTGGTCTCTGTCACACTGAATCTCCCTGGATTAAATAATCTTTTGCCCACATGTGGTTCACCTCCTTCTGTTCCCCACAGCAAATCTTTCAGCTTGAGACGTTTTCCTGAAATCAAATGCTCTCCTCTCCCATGCCCATACATCCCTTTTTACAAATAGGGAAGTCCACAGGAAATAGGGTCCTTTAAAAACACAGACTTGAGAGCATATGTAAATTGTCATATGCAAATTTACCCATTTTCTTTTTGTCCTGTGGGATCTTTTCAAGGCTAAGCACTGTCCCTGCCAGGAGAGCTGAAGGCTGGAAACACACTAAGTCATACATGTTAACGCTGCACAAATGGGCACCCAGCAAACTGAATACTTACAATTTGGTCTCATAATCCTTCCAGGCTTTGTCAAAAGGCTTTTTAAGATCCTTAGGAAAGAAAAAAAAATGTACTTAAAATGGTTTTACAATACTGCTATGTTAATACACACACAGAGAACACAAGGTATCATTCTAAGATTACAAATTATTGTTTAAAAGAAAAGAGGGGAAAACCTTTTCTTTGCATAACTTTAAGTAATTCTATTCCATCAATTTTAAGGAACATGTATCTCCAGCTTTGAAGAAGATACATGGAATGTAAGTATACACTTAAACACTACAGAATTTCAAGCAGATGTGATAGTATCATCAGAAGAGCACTGAGGAGAAACTCGTAGCAGTGCCAACAATTCTGCAGTAAGTGAATCTAAACACTTACCCCTTTGACTCCTTTCAAATCTCCTTTTAAAAGGGAGTCTAATGTGAAGATGACATTGTGACTCAAGCCTTGGAGCTAAGAATAAAAAGCAGCAATATTCACTCTATGAACTTCAAATGAGCAACAAAATCTATTCTTGTCTTGTTTCTACTGAGACATTTACACCATCAGCATAAATTTAACTTACACATTTTTTACACACTGCCCTAATTGTGAGGGGATAAACATGTTTGCGAGTTTCCTCCCTCCCCACCCCTCCATTTTGAAATCCTAAAGAAAAAGAGCAGGGGACACTAGCAGAGACTATCTTGTCCTTTTCTTTTCCACATTCACATCCCCAGAAGCACTGTCACAACAGCTAGTATCCCTTAATTACCAGCCTGCATCCTCAGTAGCATATATTTTACTTAAGGCATAAGGTAGTGGGAGCTCTCCACTGACTTGGCAAAAGCAACTGCTGCTGCAGTGAGAAACATAATGACAGGCATTGTGGCTAACAAAGGGATAATTCTGGGGTGGCAATGGCTGATGGAATCTACTCTCTTTCTTTAGGATACAAAAACAGACGGAAAGGAACTAAAACACATTGATTTCATTCAGACATAATAAACTACTATTTTTCCAGGAACGAGCTTAGGCAACTCTTAAGTTCTCACCCTCCTCCTCTACTTCACTCTCTTGTAGCCGTCAAAAATTTGAATTGTCCACTTGTGTTTAGATTAACCATAGTTTAATTTAAATCTATGCGTAATGCAATCTGGTTTCTACTGAATTTTTTCTATACATTCAAGTAAAATACAATCCTATAGCTATAAAGAAAAGCTAATTTTACAACAGAAATGTTAGAATTTATAATCATATAATCACTAAGGGTATATGCCAAGATGGTTTTAATCATTCACAAGACTGCAAAAATCATGTTTCTATATGAATTTAGTTCTCAAGAAATGTAACATTATCGCAATCCCTGCATATGGCTGACACCTAAAGTGCAATGCTAGTTTCCAAAAACAAATCTGATGATTTTAAGGCCATTTGTTATAGAAATATATGGATAATTATTTACACATCAAATATTAGATTTTACCAATACTAGTTTAAAATGAGACTATTCTTAAACAGAACTTTCAAAACTTACCAAATTTTTCAGCAGTGTTGACAATTCCTTAGTCAGAGTGGAAAATTTTACAAAAGCAGTACCAAGATCTGGATTATCTCTACTTAAGAAATTACTTCCAAATTTATCTAGTACTTGAGCATAGTTTTCTTCATTTTGGACGTGTTCTGAGAGGAAAAAGTATACAAATAATGTTTAATGAGAAATAGTAGCATTAATATCTACAAATAAAATACAAATGTCTTTTACCATTTTACTTCTGTCCTCCTGCTGGATTCCAATAACAGTATTATTAAAAGGTAAGATTATCATACTTTTAGTGGGAGTTATTCTCCTGACAGCATTTGGCCTTGAAATGAAGGCAGGACTTCATGGAGGTAATTTCAGCATAAGGAGGACTTGTACGTTAGAATTTATTGCAAAAGCAAAATTCCCACCACAGAAATCTCTTGCAGCGGCTTAATATGAATGGACTAAATGTCACTTGCCTATTATACAGCCAAGATTCTAGAACGAAGTCTGGAACCAGTATGAATTGATGCCACCATTTAAAAAAGTAAATATTCTCCTTTGGCTTTACTAAATGTGGCATAAGCTTACCATTTGTGGGCAATGATATACATGCACAATAATGGTAATGAACTTTGACATGAATGACTTTGTGGCTTTAAGTCCACAAAAATATTCCCAAATATTTAGTGGCATTTAATTGGCATATGATAGGTTATGACTGCTATTTTTATTACATGTTTTAGATGTTTTATAATTTTGTATATTGGATTTCTTTTGCAGTTTTAATTTGTTTACTGGAATTTTATACTGCTTTATTATGTTTTTATTGTATCTTTTGTATTTGATTGATTGTTGTGAACCACTCAGGGAGCTTCAGCTATTGGGCAGTGTGTGAAATGATTAACTCTGCAATTGTATGCATGTGTAATCAGCAGTAACAAGCTCCATTAAGTTCAATTGGACCGTATACCAAATAAAAGTGCTGAAGATTCAAATTAGGTGAAGGATTGTTCCACAAAACTGTTTTTCTTGAATTACTAGGTCAGTTTCACAAATGTTGGATCCCATCACTATTTCTCCCTAACTCTAATGTATACATGTTGCATGCTTTTCTTATTTTTTTTCTTTAGCTACAGAGGGAATGCCTTTAAAAGAGGATCTTCATTATGATCAGCTCTCATGCCCAATTTGTGAAGTTAAACATAGAAAAAGAAGAATCTGAGTGCCAGTCTTTTCTTTTTCCCAATATTTCTCCTTTTCTGTTTCAATCTTCCTTGGCTTACAAAGGGGGGGGGGGGTACAAAATGACCATGATTGATAGGTAAAGTAAAATCTGATTGTTACTAGGCTATGAGATAAAAATTATGAGTGTAAAAATTAACATCCAAAAATGATCAAATTGTTTCTTTATACAGGTGAGCTTCCTTTAATCCAATGTCAGAGTTCATATTCATGAGTGAGCAGGTCCCAGAATATACTAGCAAGAACACAGCCCAAGAACAGCTAAACAATCCAGGAAGAGCTTGAGTCATGCTTAAAATTAGTACTGCATACAAATCAGTACTAACTTGGAGACACAAGCTGCAGTTTAACCCTAGGTTCCAACTCTGGGTAGCTTCTTCCCTAACAAGTCCATGTTGATAGTTTGCAAGAATATTAAACTCTCCAGGCACAGAGCATCCCTGTATTGTTAGCAGCATATGAGGTATGATCAAAAATACGGTGAATGTTTAAATTAAAAAAAAATACAGTTAAAAGAAACATTGCCATTAATCCTCTCAAAATACTCTGCCTCGCTTCCAACACACTTATCCCATTGTTCTTACCACTTTCTGAAGCAGTTCTGGAAGTCTTCTTGCATGAGTGTCTTTAAGTTGTGCTGTCATGGCTGCCTCCATGTCCTGAACTGATTCAAAATATTTACCTCTCATGGCCATTTTGACCTTGAAGACAAGCCGGAAGGTGCATGGTGCCAGATTTGGTGAATAAGGTGAATGAAGACACACCATAATGTTTTTATTCGTCAGAAACTGCCATACCAGTAGTGATGTGTGTTGTCAACAGATTCAGAACATCAAAGCAGCCACAAGAGTACAACTAACTAATGGCAATGAGTCTTTTACTATATTTTTTATTTAAACATTCACCATATTTTTTGATCACAGCTTGTATACCAACAAACCTGCTCACAAACAACTTAAATGTTTTTTTAAAAAAAGGATTATCATGATGTACCAACTGAGGCAGTGAGTATGGCTGAGTCACTGGTGCTGTCTAGAGACTAGTAAGGTTATTATGCTTGCAATTAATTATTAATTTAGTGTGCAATCCTTTGCATGTTTAGAAAGAAAAAGGGTCTATTATTCCCACCATGGCCCAGTCAGTATGGCTGGTTGGAAGAAAGCTAGGAAGCTCTACAGGAGATTTTTCTCTCTAGACATTTTATAAGATTTAGTTATTATTGAAAATAAATTTTGCTTGATTTCAATCAAAGAAGTCCAATTTATAATATTAAACTCTACTTGTAAAAATCAAATTTTATCTATTTTGATGGATTAAAGCACCAGAAGCAGCTGGGCAGCAAAAAGATCACATAGTTTTTAAAATGTATATTTAAAGTCATGTGGTAAGTTTCTGGTAAATGAATCCTTTCACTTTTATTTAAACCTGGTTGTTTGTGTAGACCCTATAAATGTTGCACTCTTACAGGTTAAGAAGGCAAATACATGAAATAAATTATAATTTAGACACCAATGCACAGGAGACTCCAGTTCATACAGTATGAAGTACTATAATTAAAACACAAGTCCAATACACATATGGTTCAGAAACACCAAACTGTGAAAAATAAATGGACAAACTAGGACTGTATTTCTACACACTTTTACTTGAAATCAACAGGATTTCCAGGTAAACATTGCATAGCAAGTATTACAATTATTAGAACTGTTGATGCAAATAGCAGAGCTACATCAAGCTGGTAACAGATTAACATACATGCCTCTCCTATTATTTGGAATGGACATGGCAACTGACAACTAGTGAGTCTGCAGCAGCATAACAGTTCTGATCTAGCAAGACTTAAAGTATTGGTCCATCAAGCCCAGGACTATCTACTCCAACTGGGAGTGGCTTTCCAAGATGTCAAGCTTGGACATCCTCCTGCTATCTGAGATATTCTGCATACAAAGTAATTACTCTATCACTGAGCTATGGCCACATCCTGTTGAGAAAGGCAAGGGAAGGAAGGAAAGTTAAAGCAGTACTGATTTAGAAGACACCTGCATCAACTATTTCCCCTTAAACCCTTTCCTCTCTTATATCTTCTTCCAAGAAACTCTTATTTTGTTTGGGAGAATCACCTTGCATGCACTGTGCTAAAAGGGAACAGAAAATAATAAATATGTCATGTTTTTCTCTATGATATGACAAGATGAACTTGCTAAATTGTAATACAACTGGTCCATTATTTTTAATGTCAGACAAAGTACCAGTATCAGATTTCTCCATCTTGTTCACACTGGGAACTTTCCTTTTAAAAATTGGAAAACAGATATTAAATATAAGTTAATATGAAGAACATAAACACTTCTGCAAGGCAGCCTGTATGTTTAATATCACATTTACTTTAACTCTTTTTAAACTAAAGACAGATATTTCTGATTTTGCAAAAGGTAAATATTATCCAGTAAGTTTCATTAGATAACAACACAATAGCAGCAAAATGCCTCTATGGGGGCTGGCATAGATTCTGAATAGATCAGACAGAGGAATGCCTTTCTCACTCTCTCAACAATTTCACTTCCATGATTTATTGTGGGTCTCTACTTGTTCCAAATATTAGCTCTCCCAGTTTAAATTAGTATGATCAGTTATATACACAACTACTTAAAAAAAAGGACTACTCCTGGCAAGTAGTCAATTCAGTCATTTCAAAGACTTTTTGACAGGCACAAAGCCATGCACTAACAGATCTATGATATAAATGTACATTTCCAAACTACTTTTTCAGCATCAACTCTTTAAATTCTTTATTCTATTTGTATCTCTCGTTTTTCCTTCCAAGAAACTCAAGGGTGGCTTACATAAATTGCCTCTCAATCTTATTTTCACAACAACAACCCTGTGTTCAAGATTTGGCTGAGAGTTTCTGACTGGCCCAAGGTTACCCAGTAAGCTCCATGGCTAAGTGGAGGCTAGAACCTAGATCTCCTGAGTCCTAGCCCTGCACTCTTAACCACTTCACTACACTGATACAGAATTGTTCCAGATGAGGGAGAGGGCGCAAGCACACACCTTTGGCTATGGGGCAGCATACAAATGTGATAGAGAGAGAGAGAGAGAGAGAGAGAGAGAGAGAGAGAGAGAGAGAGATACTATTGGAGGTGCGGCATTTTATTGTAACTGTTTTGCAATATCCTTGATGTTACTGGGAAAAGCTTGCTTTAAAGCTCTGTAATTTTTAAAATAACAGTATTTGTTGAGTTTTGGATACAAATACTCAGTTTGCTAGTTGATTTCAGATTTAAGGAGGGTGGAAAACAGCCAAAGAAACCCTTAAAATACCATAAAGATTATCCCACCCCAAAATATAAACAAAAGCACGTGCAGATGGCTTAGAAACAAATTATGCTAAGCTCTTTTAGAAAACCTCTTTAAATACTTCATTTATAGTAGTTACTTTGTTTGGACAAGTTCATCTCTCATGAAAAATATTCCAGGAATGTCCTGCGTTTCCCCAGCACATTGCACTCCCTATTGTTGATTCTTCCCAAGTCTTACATTCCACAGTGATCTATTTAAAATAAGTAAGAACGCACTGAAATGTTTCATGGAATGCATCATCTTTCTTAATACACACACCCAAATGCATATAAACTGTAGGCATTTTAGTGTAGGAAACAGAAAAGGTGGCAGAGTAAAGAAGAAATGGCATAACTTTAAAATCAAGATGCCCTAAAGAAAAATATATTTACACTCACAAAATGCGAAACTCATGGTCATCCAAATAATGAGCAAAAACAATACAGCCATTAGGAACCAGTTGTCTACAGTATGTATCAATCTGTAAACTCACTAGCATAGGATGAGATAGAAGCGTTAAGACAATTAGCATATGAAAAAGATGAATACATGAAGGTAGTGTATACATGTCAGTATACATGTATCCTGAGGACATGATGATAATAATAGTAATATTAATAAGGACTTTTCTTAAGGCTCAGCTCAGTGAAATACTGGAACAAGGGATGGGAACTAATCCCTGTTAAAAGTACCCAGACATGCTGTTAAACTCACTTTGACAACCCTGATTTAAAACTAGGTTGGTTTCAAACAGGGTTAACAATAGTCAAACCTGAAGCAGTCATATCTAGGGAGAAAGGAGCAGACAAGGCAAGAACATGCCAAATCTTGTAGCTTGCCCTCAAATCTCACATCCCATTACATCTGAACCTCATTTACAGCATAGATATGACAAATGTGTTATCCAAATAACAAATGAACATGAAAACTTACCTCAAATCATACAGTGGTGACATTTGCACATAACAATAAGGCACAATTCTGGAGAATTCTGGTTTATCGTTCACTAGCAGCGTGCTGATGCATGCTGACCAATCACTCCTGCTTGGCTCCTCCCACCAACAGGAGCAGCTAATGTAACCAGAAAAAAATTAGGAAGCGTTATGTCAAAACCGGGACTCCCAGTTTGTGGTGGCTCCCCTAATAAGCTAGAATCCAAAGCCAGAAATTGTAATTGGTTTCAATTACTGGCTGGTCTGGGAACCTCTTTTGCTTTTCTACTCCCAACATACTTCAAAATTCAACCGGGGGTTGGTGGTGGGGGGGGGGTGTTTCATCTATTTTTTGCCTCCTGGTTAGTTTCTGATCACTTTAGCTGCTACCGCTGGTGGGAGTAGCAAAGCAGGAGCGAATGAGCAGTCGTGCTGCTCTTGAATGACAAACCAGGATTTGCTGGACTACTCAGTTATTATATGTGAACACAACCTGCATGTTCACAGAGATTCTGAGATTTAAACCAAGGACTAAAAGTATGTATTCTTAATCCCTATAATGTAATGTAATGTCACTTTTAGGTTATACACCTAAGGCCAGGGGTAGGTTACCTTGAACATCTTGCTCTTTCAAAATCTTCCACAAAATTTATATCTACCCTATGTACAGATATTATAAATTTTCTGACACAATTACAGTTGTGATGTAAGAAAGACATTCAATAGCTGTGAAGTGACACAGCAGCACTACAGACTAGTTAGGGAAAACTAAGTAAAACTCTATAAAAATCAAGTCAATGCTTATCAAATAGATTTCTTATTCGCAGACAGTTATCCATACATTCCTTAAATGTTAAATTCGACAAATTGCAAATCTCACTGTGAGAATACACTAAATGGTTCTTTATTAATGTTTAGAGAAATGAAGCTTACCTTGACCAGAATTATATATTGCTTTTACAGATTTTTTGACTTTTTGTAGTGCAGTTCTGTCCTGATCCAATGCCTAGAAAAAGAAAGACTGCGGTAAGGGAAGGGCAGCTTCTATTTTGAATTAGAACACCAAACATGAGGATCTTGTCAGCAAGTGCTGAACATTTTCAGGAACTGTAAGCATTGCAGAAGCACTGTTATTACCCTCTGGGAAGGTCTTTAGTCTCTCAGTCTCTTCAAGTCAGTTAAAGAACTCTGAACTGAAGAGTTCCTAAGGCAAAATTCTTCACAAAAAAATAGCTGTAGGGAAACAAGGAGGAAGTGCTGGGTTCAGCATGAAGTTTAATACCTGTTATCCTTGCTAAAATTCCCTAAACTTAAATTTCGTCTTTTTAAATATAATTGCAGAGAATTTTTCTGACTTTGGTTCTAAAGATAGAATTGCAAAAGACAAGCAAAAACTGTTGCAAATGTAAGGGTCAGTATTTACATAATGCATTTTTCCCTATGCTGACATGCACAGCACAATTGCATATCTAATTGGAAGTAAATCTCAGAGTTTTCAATGACAGTTATGCCCTGCATGCCAAACTCATTTAGGATTGCCAAATCATTGTAAGGTAAAACATGCAATTTAGTCTTCAAATAATTGAAAATAACCATGAAGCACAACATTCCAAATCTACAATAAGTTAAAACACATCATACACAGAGTTTAAAAGCTATTGGTTCATATAATACAAAACAGTATGTTCAAAAATCAAGTACAGGTGGACAAAATGAAATTTGTTAGAGGGTAGTTCCACATCTCTTGAGCTAACACAATTACAGAAATTAAACACATATTTGAAAAAGGATGTTGAAGACTGCCTTTTTTATTTCAAACAAAAGTGGCCCATTCACAAGGAGAGCTGATTAAAACGTTTAAACAGCAATCTCTCCTCATTTTCCCCACTCTGCCGCAGAATCCAGAAAAAAGTAATGGCAAGATCTCCCAAGCTAGAAAGCCCATACAATATTCCTGGTCATTGAATGAATAGGGTCACTATTTCATCACCTCTGCTCACCAAAGGGATGCTCCTCCCTCAAAAGAAAACAAACAGTGCTACATATTGTTTGTGTTTGTTTTCCAAAGCAGAACTGGTGCCCTCCAGATATGTTTAACTATAATCCCCACCACTTCTAGCTTGCAGTGGAGGTGCTGGCTAGGAATGGTGAGAATTATAGTCCAGCACATCTAGAAAACACCAGGTTGGGGCAAGGTGTCCTAATCAGTTTGGAACCAGGATACTGTACTTAAAGAACCACTGTTACCCACACCAACCTGCTTTCACTTATAGATCATTGCAGGCCATACTTGTGTGTCCACCTGTGAGAGTAATTAGGCTGGCAGGTACAAGGGGCAGGGTCTTCTCAGTGGTGACCCCACATGTTGTAACTGTGGAGGTTATAACTGCTGTCCATCAAAGCCCATTATAACAGGCCTTTAGGTGGGCCTTGTTGACCTTCAATTGACTGAGGTTTCTACTGCACTCATTGTGTATATACTATTGTCTGGTTTAAAAGTTAATTATGGTGTTTTATTGAAGGTTTTATTTTTTCATTATCTTCAGTTTTGCTGTATACTGACTTGAAGATTAGACATTGTGTCATTAGGGACAGGCCTGATGTGAACCTACTCATGAATACGCAGATCAAATGTTACCCACTAGCTTTTTCACTTCTTTCACTACTTGCTGTAGCTGTGCAGTCTGAAGGAATGCATCCCTTTAACTGCCCTGAACTTCCCACCAGGAGCAATGCTAGGTACTGCCTGGTTCATTTATGATCTTACTGCTCAATGTGTTCTGAGTTCTGTACTCCAGTGATTTTCAACCACTGGTCTGTGGACTGGTGCCAGTCCGCAGAAGATTTCCTGCAAGTCCATGAAAAAGCCCTGAGGAGGAGCTGCAGAGGGGTGGCATATAAGAGCAGCAACTCAAGCTCAGTCTGCTCTTCCCACTTGCTCAGCACTGCTGCCCTCATCAGGAGAACAGATCTGCGCCAGCTCTTTCCCTCCTGCTGCTAAGATCAGCTCAGTTCCCACTCTTCCAGCTCACTCAGGGCTACTGCCATCACCAGAGGAACTGATTCGCCGCAGCAACTTCCCTCCTCCTGTTACGATCTGCTCAGTTCTCCTGGTGGTGGCAGTAGCCCTGAGCAAGCGGGAAGAGCAGGCTGAGTGTGAAGCAGCTCGTAGCTCCTTGTCAGGAGGTGCAAGACAAGAGCCAGGCCGCTAGGGACCGCCTGCATGGCATGCTGAGGGGGCGGGAGTTTGGCAGCATTCTCAGAGCCGCATATAAGGGCAGCAACTCGTGTGCCATCCCCTCTTCCCACTCTCTCAGCACTGCTGCCATCACCAGGGGAACCCATCTGATCCAAGAAGGAAGTAGGAAAGAGCTCTGATGTCACTCTGGTGTCCAAACAACATGCAATCATTGCCACAATTTTGGATATCACTGGAAAAAGAGTATCTGTCACTAAGCTACAGAGCTATAAATTGTTACTACTATTTTCCACCAAATATTTGTGCAAAAAGAGTTTTTCAGCCCTGTCACTGATAAAAACCAAACAGAGAAACAGAATGGATGTCTGTGCAATGCTTCATCTGTCAGAAACAACACTGCAGCCATGACTATCAAGTATTCTTGAAGTAAAAGCAGATTTTACATTGCACTTATTTGAATTAAATACTGCTCTCTAAAAATTTCACTTGTATTGCTTACATTTAATTTCAATATTTTATTCTTCTAGTAGCATTTTTACTTCTCGGTTCTGGTCAGAGAATAATCATTTTTGGTACTATATTTAAAAATACACAAAATACTATATTATGCATATAATGCTTTTAATTTCATCCTCAGCAGTCCCTGGAAAAAAAAATAATCCTATTTTTGCTGGTCCCCAGCTGTAAAAAAGTTGAAAATCACTGCTGCACTCCATGCAAGTATAGGGTGTTTACCATACTTGATACATCATTTAAAGTTTAATAAGCTTTTATCATTATCCACCAGGCCTATAACTAACTGTTCAGCTAGCAGGTTCAAATACAAGTTTTCCTGATCGCTGACATTCCTCTTGGAATGTTACACACTATCATACTGATATGATCCATAGAATATTGTGTGGTGGTTGCCAGCAGTGCTTCAAAAAGTCTTAAGTGGAAACCCAGAGCCATTCATACTTTTTTAAAAAATGAAAAGCATGATTGAAAAAACTTGCTGTATTGTTTGTAATTCAGCAGAAAACATCTTAGTTAAATATAAGTTTAATTTTTACATCTACCCCCATGATCAGCAGCTTTTCTTGGAAAAAATAGGTTGGCACACAGAAGCCGCAGAAAAGCTATTTTTCAGTTTTAAGATGCCATTAGCTTTTCTAATAAACCTGACTTGTTCCCTTACAGATCAACAGACTGGTATTCTCTGGGGATATCTTTGTAAATAGCCAAAGAACAGTACAAAACAGTGTCACTATACTATCCTCACTGTAGTTCAACACAGATCATATGAAAGCTCAATAAGGGTAGCAATTGTTACTCTGGCTGATGAGGCAGTCCCACAGCATCACATCTAACTGACTAAAGATGAAGACAACTGAATAATTCACCAGGGCTACTTCCACATCTCTGGCAATGTTGCCTGCTTCTTCTATGTCAATTTTGCTGCACAGAGAGAGCAAGGTTTTATGCAAATAACACATAAACTTCACAATTTCCCACAACAGAGATACCTAGTGATGCACATTTTGCCAGGGTTAACAGTGGGGGTACCTTGATAAACATATTTCTCTCAGTAGTACATAGTCTACATAGGTCCAATCGGAAGTATATCTAGTTTAGATGCATTCTTCAGAGTCACAATGAATAAAAGCCATGGCAGTGTTTTAAAGAGATTTCTTATAGCTGCAGCTAAAGCCTCCTCTTTCTTACAACTCTCCACTTTGGATGTTCCTTATCCCTCAAGAGTTTTTTAAAGGGATGAGCCTATCAATCTCACTCTTTTTTAAGGGTTAGGCCTATCAATCTTAGGGGATTTCATTATTCAAAACATATAACATGTTCTGAGTAACATATCCAACAACATCTTTACCACTCCAAGCAGCTGCTTTTGCACAGTGTTTAATAATGTCCAGGCCTCATTGCAAAGGGGAAACTTTTCCTAAAAGTCTCTTGAATATCCCAACAAACCAAGCTCCATATATAACAGAGATCCCCTGTACAGCACTTTCTGTCTGGCCTCATAATTTCTATAATGGGCAGGGTCCCCATATGTTTTCAGGAGAGCCATTTTTAAAAGCAATTTTAAAAACTCCAGGAATAAACTTACAGCTTTACAACAACCTTGCTAAAATGAAAAGTACATTTTTGTCCTGATCCATCTTTCTGCCAGGAGCAGTGCTGTCAAAATGATGCTTCGCCTCTAGAATTGTCAAAGCCAGTGTTGACACATTTGTTGTTCCTTCTAAACATTGGTATAAAGTACAGTAAAAGTACATACAATTCTCCTTCAACCTGGATCGCTACATTGTCTGTATAAATTAATGGGTTTTTAATATTGTTTTTTATAAGGTGCCTTCAGTTCCAGCATTAAGAATAGGTGGAATATAAATAAATACATTAATAAAATAATAATAAATGTATAAGGTGTTAAAACAGTACTGTCTGATGCAAAAGGCATTTTTGACATAGTGTTCAGGAAACAAAGCTAATATGGGATAGCTCTGCATTAGCTAGAAAAGTAAGAGTTTCAGTTGCTTTAAGATTCATTTCACTAGACGTTGGATTGCAGTCCAGGATCACTGCAGTAGCATCACAGCTTAGCGTACTGATATACATGTTTTCCAACTGCTCAAAATTGCTAACCTAACAGCCACAGTGCAGGGAAAAGGCTCACTTTTTCCCTTGAGCAACTTCATATTGCATATCAGTTGTTAGAGCATTCCAGTTGTCACTTTCCATACCCATGAAAGATCGAGGGAACCTGCTAATTGAATAGTAAAATAGTGTTATGTGGGGTGCAGAGAACCTATGCA